CCCCCCCCCCCCCCCTTCAACTCGAAGTCGTCACCTGTCGACCAAAAACTCCATTTAACATGGTTTCCCCTTCAAAATACAGAACCATAAAAGCTTCAGTGGCTATAGCAGATGCTGTTTCATGGAGCTGTGCCATAGCTTTGATCGCCTTTATTTTATTGAGCTCCATAAGATATAGCACTGCAAATGATCGGGTGCGAGGAAGGCAACTTCAGGACAGACCCTGCGACGAAATCTATGTCGTCCAAGAAGGAGAAACCCTTCATACCATCAGCGATAAATGTGGTGACCCGTATATAGTCGAGCGCAATCCCCATATCCATGATCCGGATGATGTTTTTCCTGGACTTGTTATAAAGATTACACCTTCAAATCCCAGGTCAAATTAAGCTGTTGCCGAGGTATTAGTGAAACACAGTCTGTTCTTATGTTGGCTACTAGTTACTCGAAAATAAATTGAACTTTCTTACAGGTTTTGACGGACCTTTGTATTAATATTCTCTTGTGGATATAAAAGACTGGGGTAACAGAAATATTTCTCGTTCTTGATATCTGATCCAAGAATTTCCTCTCTCTTTTTTATTTTTCACAAGGAGCCATAGCGTTTGATTGATTTCACTGTTGGATATAGCCTTCTAATTTTGGTATTCGATCGTTGTTCATCATTTATGATATATTCTGAAAGGCGAGGATGCCCCAAATGAAATTATAAACTGAAAGAGTACTCATTCGTTCCATTCACGCTTCAATACCATTGTATTATCATAACAACTATTATGATCACATTTTTCCCTGGTTTGGTTAATTTTTCCTTTTTTCACTAAATTTCGATAAAAGTTGATAAATGTGCAATTGAAAATGAATTTTAAATAATTAAGGCCAAACATGAGCGAAGCAATTGAATAAATTTAGCTTGATGAATTCTCTCAATTAAATAATTTAAGCCACAAAGTGTGTTATAATTTTTTATTTATTTAAATTTTATGATTAATTCATCCCCTTAGCCCTGGTTTGATGGGATTAAAGTCAAAATTTGATATTTATCAAATTTTGATGAAATGTATAGTTTAGAAGTTATGGGTTTTATGAAATATATGATTAAAATTAATTAGTGACTTTGACTTAAATTAAAATCTTAATTTTAATCCCTACCAAATATGGGCTAATGCATAACTTATTTTGTTCTATGATATATATAAGCACAATATATAAATATGACGGTTACAAAACATTTGTATGTTCTCATTCGTGGAATTGCATTAATAAGTTTCAAAATATGTATTTTGAACCAAATTTCAATTTCCACGACAATTTACCTCATACTAGCAATATATTTGGAATTCCACTTCCATAATGATTAAAATTACAAAAGCGGAGAATTTTAAAGACTAGTCTAGTATTCAAGTGAAATTGATCTTTTATATTTATTTATTAGCGTTTTAATATTTGGTTTGATATTATCATTATATTGATGAAGGCGTGAAGAAGTTTAAGAGGAATCAAGATAGAATTATTGAGAAAGTGACCATTATAAACACATTATCTGTCTTGATGTTGGAAATGCATTGTGATCAACTAGTGGAAAAAAACCTTCCTTTCCAATGATATTTTGTAGAGGTGGACAATTTGACAATAAGAGGTCATGACATAGATTAAAACATAAAAGTCATTATGTATAGCAATTTTAAATAAAAATGTGAGAAAAACAATAACTTCTACAAACATATTCAAAAGAACTATAATGACGTGAATTAATTTAATAATATTTTACGTAATCTCGATCTCCATGTATCTTTTTGTGTCTTCTATCGTATCGAGAACTCATGCAGGGCAAGACAATTAATTCTCTAAAAGAATTGTAGTTAATAGCAAAATTGTAGTTAATAGAAGATGCGCTTGCAAGCCATTATCATCAACAACAAAGTCCAAATCAATCCACCTCAAACACTATTTGTTACAACATATGCTCACTCTCGTGAATGCGTTGCATCAAGAGATGAAATGTTAATCGTGTTCTCGAATTCAATAGTTTTTATTTCCCTTCTCCAATTATATGGCCTGGATTAAGTTGCTTGAAGACGTGTTTGTTCATTTGAATATTAGAAAAGAAAATAAAAATAATTAATTTTGATAGAGATGGTCAATTAATCCATATAAATGCGAACAGAAAGATATTTTATGAGTATTTTGTGTATAGAGTGATTCAATAGTAAATCCAATTATGGTATGTGATTGAAACGCAATGTTCAAAGACCGATGAATGCGGTTTACTGAAAGAGTACTCATTTGTGTCCATTCATTCTTCAATACCATTATATTATCATAAGAAGTATAATGATCACATTTTGCCTTAGTTTGGTTGAAAAATAATTTTTTATTAAATTTTGATAAAAGTTGATAAATGTGCAATTGAAAATATGTTTGGACAAAAAAGAGTTTTAAAGAATTAGGGCCAAACATGAGCAAAGCAATTGAATAAATTTAGCTGGATGAATTCTCTGGATTAAATAATTTAAGCCATAAAGTGAGCTATATTTGTTTATTTAAATTTTATAATTAATTCACCTCGTTTGCCCTTATTTGATGGGGATTAGAGTCAAATTTTTATAAAAGTTGATAAAATGTGTAGTTGAGAAGTTATGTATCTCATGAAATATACAATTAAAATTAATTGTTGACTTTGATTTAAATTAAAATATTAATTTTGATCCCTACCAAATATGGGCTAATGCATAACTTACTTTTCTCTATGATATATACAAGCACACTATATAAATATGATGGTTACAAAACATTTGTATGTTCTCATTCGTTGAATTGCATTAATAAGTTTCAAATTATGTATTTTCGAACCAACTTTCAACTTACACAATAATTCATCTCGTACTAGCAATTGGAATTTCACTTTCATAATGATTAAAATTACAAAAGCATAGAATTTTTTAAAGACTAATCTAGTATTCAAGTGAAATTGATCTTTGTATATTTATTTATTTGTCTTTTAATATTTGGTTTGTTATTATCATTATATTGATGAAGGCGTGAAGAAGTTTAAGTGGAATCAAAATTGAATTATTGAGAAAGTGACCATTAGAACCCATTATCTGTCTTAATGTTGGAAATGCATTTTGATCAATTAGTGGAATAAAACCGTCCTTTCCAATGATATTTTGTAGAGTTGGACAGTTTGACAATAAGAGGTCATAAGATAGATTAAAACATAAATTCATTATGTATAGAAATTTTAAATAAAAATGTGAGAAAAACAAAAACTTTCACAAATATATTCAAAAGAACTATAATGACGTGAATTATTTTAATAATATTTTAGGTAATCTCGATCTCCATGTGTCTTTTTGCGTCTTCTATCGGATCAAGAATTCATGCGTGGTGACACACTTGATTCTCTAAAAGAATTGCAGTTAATAGAAGATGTGCTTACAAGCCCTTTATCTCATGTTCAAGCAATGGTTTGCATCAAGGGATGAAACGTTATTTGTGTCATCAAGGGATGAAATGTTATTCGTGTTCTCGAATTCAATAATAGTTTTTATTTCCCTTCTACAATTACATGGCCTGAATTAAGTAGTTTGAAAACGTGTTCGTTCATTTGAATATTAGAAAAGAAAATAAAAATAATTAAATTTGATAGAAATGGTAAATTAATCCATATAAATACGAATAGAAAGAGATTTTACTAGTATTTTGTGTACAAGGTGATTAAATAGTAAAACCAATTATGATTAGTGATTGAAACACAATGCTCAAAGACCGATGAATCCGATTTATTGATGTCCACAGACTGGCATGTTTAGCGAGGTTCAAAAGATTTACTTCAAAGTAAATAATTAATTATTTTTTTTTAAATGATTTTTTGAAAGTTCTTTTACCTTCCTGGCAATGTAAATTACTTTTCACTTAATCATGTGATGAAGTTATATATATACATGTTTAAAAAAAAAAAAAAAGATACTAAAAAGTTGATCTGATGCTCTTTTAAGTAAAGTAGAGTTTATTGGCTTTATGAATGATAATGTTTGCTGTAGTCAAATTCAATATGCTAAACGAAATATATGAGTATTCATTCATTGTTATGCTAAAAATGCAGATGGCTTTGGACTTTGTTTAGTAGTTAATTTATTCACATATTTGGTTTTGACAAATTAAAATTATATATAAATTTGCAGAATATTTTTGAATTGAATTATAAAAAATTAAATATTTTGTTAAACTTCCTTGTACAATGACCTGTCACCTTATATGCTCGGTTTAAAATGGAAAAAAGATTAAATATTTTGTCAGAATTCGATTTATCCTAGTACAATGACCTTTCACCTTATATAGATGCTCAGTCAAAATGGAAAAATTAAATATATGTGACAGCTAGGGGTTTGTAATTTTCCTAATTCTTATTCCTTTTGCAGTAGCAAGAGAAATGTAGAATCCATTGCATTTAAGTGAGTTCATGATGATCAGCAATAAATGATTGAATTAAAAGAATTAGATAAAAATAAAAATCAAATGGAGACCATTTTTGTACCTCACAATGTGTTGCATGTGTCAGAATCTAGGTATCTAAGGTTTACGAATTTGAATCAAGAGGATGGTGATATACAGTATAAGTGATATATGCAAAGAAAAAAGATTTGTCTTTTGCAAATGAAGAATCACCCCCTTTTACATAGGGAAAGAAACGTAACACTAAATATCATGTTGATTTCATTTAAACTAATCAACCTCGATTCGTATGACATTTACCGGATCATTTACTTGTGACTGGTGGATTAGGTGTCAGAAGTGGTGCAATAATTGCCTAGGTTGTAGGATTGTCACGTAACCCACCTCTTCTTCTCTATCGAAGGGTTTAGGAGGTTGGGGGGACAAATCCTCTGTCACTAAATGATTGCTGCTTAGCTAGAAATAATTATTAACCTTAAGTAGTAACTAATTTAACTAACCTTATTGAGTTTGGTCATAGCGATGTGTCAAGCTCATTGGATTTTCGAAGTGGGCATACGTTGTCTGGTGTTCTTGGTGGACCAGAGTTCGATGGAGCTATTTGTCCAACGTCAAAACTTGGAGGTCAACATAACTCAATTGCCAATAGGTCTCTTCTCATTGAGTAACTTATTACACTTTTACACGATCATATTCAAATAACGTAAAATTTACAATATGCATGTTGAATCGAACAAGTCTTTATAACAAAATGATTCAATAGTTTGATGGAGAAAAAAACTTGCATTTGCAAATAATGTAAGCATGACGTGTGTTAATTTTTGTATTCCAAATACCTTTTATAAATTAAATTACTATGTTTTAAAAAAGGTTAATTTGTTATTTTTTAGAATATATTTATACTAAAATGGGGGAGGTTATGATCTCATGGAGGTGTCATCTGGCTAATAAGTATATTTTCTCAAATCAAGAAAAGTCCCACAATTTTCTTGGATCAACACGCTTCCATCCCTATAGCCCATCAAATGATCCAACCAATAAATACTAAACACACGTCAAATTCTACCTAAAAATTAATATTCGTCAACTTTTGGCGATGCATAATTATGTTTTTTTTCTTTTTTTTTTTTATGTGATTCTTTATTCCAATTACAATTGCTTCTTGGGCAAGAAACTTGTTCCTCAGTAAGATGTGTGTGTGTGTGTGTATATAAAATTTTGTGTAATCCTATTATTGGCTAATTAATTGCAGTCAATTACTTGTCTAATTTAATTAGTTAATTTATGTAATGATTAAGTGGCGGTCACATTCAACTTTTAATCAAGAAGATTACTACTAATTAAATATGAAAGACCAAAAGAGTAGACAAGTTATGGAGTCCTGAAAAGTCGCGTGTTTATAGAGTATATGTTAGGAAGAAAATAAAAATATTCATCTCTATTATAATTTAAATTAGTCAATTTTTTTGTTGTCAAAATTTGATTGGCTAGAAAACATGCTAAAACTTTAAGTTTTAAAATAACGTTATTGTTTAACTGTTATATGGTAAAGAAGACAATTAATGAGACATTTGTCGCAATGATTTTTTATTTTTTACAACTGATTTTTGAAAAAATGGAGCAAAGTATTTGTACCTTGACATGATAATTGTTTATGTATTTATTATTATGCAGTTTAGTTTTATTTTAACGTTGATCAGATGAGTTAGTTTCATATTTTATCTGCTCTATTTCAACCGCCAAAACTAACTGTTCAACCAATTGATTGACAGGATGAAATATATGATATGATTTATTAATTTTTTGTTCAATTTTATTTAATTTAGCATACTAATTATATAACAGTAAACTATTTTAAGAATTTTGAAAGTTTTTCAACGTTTTAGAAGTAAAATTAGCAATAAATTTTATGGAATCCATTACGGACAAAAAAAGGTCAAAATTCTTATTAGAAAAAATTAAAAGAATTTATTGCAAAAAAATTCTTTAGTTTATTTTGATCTTTAATGTTTCAAGAATCTGCCATACAAGACTAAAATTCACACGCCATGATATCATTGAAAACTTGTACTCTAACTTCCTCCTAGTAAGTAAACAAAGACCTTCGACCCACATACATAGCCACCAGCTCCAGCTTATGTAGATATAGATATATATACCATTCCCACCAATAAGAATATTTCCAAAGGATTTTCTATTTTCAAAGAACATATTCAATAATTTAGAGAATAAAGAGTATTTATAAATTTAGAGAATAAAAATTTTTAAGTACTATAATAGACTACTTATATTTAACACTCAAATTTACTGCTTCCAAAAAATATTTACTACTTTTTTGTATATTTTATTTTCACTAATTTCCCTTCAAATTATTATAGTATTTTAGTTCATTTAAAATTGAAATACTTTGAATACATTTAAATATAAACTTATTCTCTAAATTAAAATGTTTATTTAAAGAATATCTTGAAACATAATTTTAATGTTTAATTCTTTAAATAAAAAATATATTCTATTTAAAGAGTCTCAAACTCCCTGCATATTTTGTATATATTAGTTTTATTTTAACATTGATCAGATGAGTTAGTTTCATATTTTATTTGCTCTATTTCAACCGTCAAAACTAACTATTCAACCAATTGATTGACAGGATTAAATATATGATATGATTTATTAATTTTTTATTCAATTTTATTTAATTTAGCATATAATTATATATCAGTAAACTATTCTAAGAATTTTGAAAGTTTTTCAACGTTTAGACGTAAAATTAGCAATAAATTTTATGGAATCTATTACGGACAAAAAAAAGGGTCAAAAATTTTGTTAGAAAAAATTAAAAGAATTTATTGCAAAAAAATCCTTTAGTTTATTTTGATCTTGAATGTTTCAAGAATCCGCCATACAAGACTAAAATTCACACCCCATGATATCATTGAAAACTTGAACTCTAACTTCCTACTAATAAGTAAACAAAGACCTTCTACCTACATACATAGCCACCAGCTCCACCTTATGTAGATATAGATATATATACCATTCCCACCAATAAGAGTATTTCCAAAAGATTTTCTATTTTTAAAGAACATTTTCCATAATTTAGAGACTAGAGAGTACTTATAAATTCAGAGATAAAAAATTTGAAGTATTCTATACTATTTATATTTAACACTTAATTTTACTACTTCCAAAAAGTATTTATTATTTTTTCCGTATATTTTATTTTCACTAATTCCCCTTTAGATTATTATATTATTTTATTTCATTGAAAATTGAAATACTTTAAATACATTTAAGTGTAAACTTATGCTCTAAATTAAAATGTTTATTTAAAGGATCTCTTGAAACATAATTTTAATGTTTAACTTTTTATATAAAAAACATCTTATTTTTATTTTTAAAAGAGTCTCAAACTCTCTACATATTTTGTATATATTAGTCTTCATTAGGATAAAAAAAATTATAAATAATGATACTTGTACATAATGAAGTTACATAATGATTTATATACATATGAAATGTCAAAAAAAGAGTGAGGGAGGATTTGATTTTTTTTTTTTTTGGGTAAAAAATTGTGATTTAATCACATATATATATATATATATATATATAAGATTCACTATTTTATATCTCTTAACCGCCTTCCATTGCATTTTCACCTTCTCTATACAACGGCTTCATCCAACATGGCCAAATCCTTGAAAGCATCATTTCCAAGTGATGCATCCTGCGCAATTATTATACTGTTTCTCATATTGGTGGGCTCATCACCATCGTCGTCACTAAGAATGAGTAATTCTCTAGTGAGAAATAACCAGCTGAAAGACTACCCTTGCGAGGAAATCTATGTTGCAAGAGAAGGTGAAACTGTCCACAGTATCAGCGACAAATGCGATGATCCCTTCATAATCGAGCAGAACCCACATATTCATGATTCCGATGATGTTTTTCCTGGTCTTGTCATCAAGATTACTCCTAAGCCTAGGAGGGTATAATCTTCTTCATCACTGTACTGGAGATTGTAGCCTGTAGGGCCTTTTTCTTTTGTTCTTCAGGAGAAAAATAGATTATTGTACACTTTTGTTATATTCTAGTTTGTAAAGAGATAAAAAAAGAAGAAATTTTATGGAAAATTACTATTTTTCTTATTGTTTATATATCTAAACAATTTCTTGATTGTATAGTAGATTCTAATTAACGTATGGATAGAGAAAGGGTGAAGAAATTCATTGATGTGTATGTGTGCATATTACATAAGGTGTTTCTACTGTTCAGAAATTTGATTTTATTTCTTTTGCAGTATTTTCTTCATTACATAATTTGGAAATATTAAGGTTCTTTTCCTTTTTCTATTTTTTTGTGAAAGGAATAACTGTTTAATTATTATTTATTTCTCAGCCAGTAAAAAGATAAAATATTTATTTTAAAAAGAATAATGTGAGCTAGTTTGGAAATCATCATAAGCATCATTGTGCATATAAAGATATAAACGCTGATGCATTTTCCAATTCGTAACAAAAATGTAATAGAATAAAGCCACTCGTCCAGATTTAAAATTAGGGAAGTGAAGAGACAGACCGATCCGTCAGAAAATGATTGGGTATTTTTTTAAATTTTTTTTTTTCAAATTATCCAATCATGCATCGACACGTGTTCCACCTGGATTTGAGCCTAGACGTAGAGCATGATTGAATGTAATAACTCTCGTGCTCGAGTCTAGCCACCATCTCAGGGCTTTAGATTTGCTCGACTAGGGAGAGATATTTCACATTATTTATGGTACATAAATATAAGTTCTTGTAATTAAAATAATGTCTTGAACATGGTTTAAATTATTGATTTATGAACATAGGATTTTTGGTCTGCAATCTGAATAGTGCCAACTGCAACCGCTTTGGCTAATTGAAAGCATACATTTTTTTAATGTATGTATTCTATTTGGGGATAAACTCCAGAAAGTTATTTCATTAAGGTTTTTTTTCTATGTTCTATAGAACATTAGAACCTGCGCATCTCTAAGTTCCTGGATAAAGTCAACACGTCTATATAAATTAATTTTTCTTACTTTAATTAATAAAATACAGTTCTCATTTTTTATGTTATTTTAATAAAATTTCAATTTTTTTTTGCTATAATGAAAATTTTAAATGGATAGCATGCACCTGTCGTGGACTGCCAAGCGGCCTGTTTAACTCGTCCAAGAACAATCTGGTCTTCCAAATGGAGCCCAATTGGTGAACACCCCCACCCCACCCGGCCCACTCCCTCTCAGTCTCTAACATTTCAACGTCACTACTGATTTCTGTTCCTTCTGTGAGTACTTTTCAGTTCAAATCATAAACAAGAAGCTCTTCCAGGTAAAAGTTCTTTCTTTACTCTACAAATATAATTCAACAGCAATTTCTGTTTTCTTTTACATATTTGTGGGATTTCATTTAGGGTTCTTTAATTCGTCTTTGATGACCACTCAATTACTCATCTGATTATAAAAAATACTGTTGGATGTTGTTCCAATAGTGTATGCGGAAATCTTTTAATTTTGGCATGATCGTATGTATAATATTTGTATTTCAAGAACCCATAAATCGGAAACACAGGCATCATGCATACAAGCTTGAGTATAGTCGCTGCAGAGATCCAGCTTAATGGCAGATTTTTTAAGAAAGGCTATTTAATGGAAGTGTTGCCCTAATTTAGATGCAATATAATTATATTGGTATATCTAATTTCTCCTTTTCTCTGTAGAAATTGACTTGACTCTTAAATAATTAGATGCTTATTGAATTGTTGTCCTCACTATATTGATTGTTCCCCGCTTGCAATTTTTTGGGTTAGAATTGGATTCAGAGATCAAAATAGAGAACCTAGATTTGGTTTTGTTGATGTCAAAATTTGCCGACATCCAAATGTGAAAATGTTGTTAACTTGGTGACCGAGCTGCAAAAAGTTACACGTCTAAGGCGACACTTGGTGGCCGTAGGAATTCCACTGCCTTCAGAAATATAGATATTCCCAAAGCTTTGGTGAGATTTACTCCTAGAGATGAATGATTCAGTGGCACAATGAGATGAGAGGTAGCAAGCAACTGATGTTGAGCTCGGATACCAAATTGTTGAGTTTAAACCCCAAAAGAAAATGATTTTATTGATATAAAATCACTTACACAATTTAAGGCACTCACCACTAATAATACTCAAGGGAGCACTAATTACTCTCACTTATCTATGTACACTTTCTCTCATCACTCATCCATCCATAATGCACACAACCATCTTGTATTTACAGGTGTTAATTGCGGTGGTGGATGGTTCTAGTATGACGGTGGTGAAGTTACAATCCTGATTCTAGATACATCCATAAATGATGGTGGTGATAGTAATTGGATTCTTCTAACATCTTCTAGGCATGGATACATTCTAGATTTTTTCATTGCATTGATGATGAAAGTCACTTGCTGCTCCTTCTTGATTCTTCTAGTATGGCGGTGGAATTGTATCTAGAGAGTTCTTCAATTGATGGTTGGCAGCCTTCCAATAATATCTCTAGATTCTTCTAGGAATGCTTAAGGATTAAGGAATTTGATTAGCAAGGAATCATCTCTAATTTTCTAGAGAATTCTTGGAGCTTCCTCATAGTCGGTGATTACCTTCAATTGAGGGATGCTAGGATGCAGCTTCAGTTATCAATGTCATGGCATTGGATTAGAAGAATGAAAAGTTTTCTGCCAAAGAAAATCTTCAAATACCCCTGTAGATCCGTGGAATGTGGAATCTTCTTAGACTACATAATTATGAGATCCATGTAATCATCTTTAAAAATCCTATATTATTTTGGTCATCCTTTTTCTTTTACGAAGTCAAGTTATTGAGAAAATTTGAATGGAAGTTTCAGTCCAAGTGATCTATTAACTCCTGCTAGAACACCTTGTGTCACGTAGGTTTGTTTGTAAACATTTCATTTTGAATACTTTGTCCTGTTATAAGGTTTGGATTGTTCTCTGTATGTCAGATTGCTCAAGGACTGCACCTTCAAATGATGGATGAGGAGAGAAATGACAGCGATGATAAATCTCTGTCGAGTGATTCTTGTCGCCTTTGGAGCCAATGGCAGTTGCTGGATTCTGTACTTCCTACAGGTGGCTTTGCTCATTCTTGTGGTCTTGAGTCAGCAATGCAAGCTTGCTTGGTCTTTGGCCCTGAAGATTTACGGAAGTATGTGGTCCATGTGTTGGAGAATACAGGAAGTTTACTTCTTCCATTTGTTCACGCTGCAAACATGTCTCCTGACTTGCAGACGTGGCAGAAAATTGATCGGCTGCTAGATGCAACACTGACCAATGAAGTGAGTCGTAAGGCATCAATTGCTCAAGGATCAGCGCTTATGAGAGTTGCTGCAGCTGTTTTTTCAGAAATTCCGTCTATCAAAATGATGAGAGATACATCTTTGGGAAGTTCAATGGTCTCTTTGCACCATGCTCCCATCTTTGGGCTCATATGTGGGCTTCTTGGATTTGATGGTGAAACTTCTCAGAGAGCTTACATGTTCATAACAATGCGAGACGTCATATCTGCTGCGACTAGGCTAAATTTGGTCGGACCCTTAGGTGCAGCCGTATTACAGCATCATGTTGGCCCGATTGCTGAAGATTTGTCAAAGAAATGGATGAACCGTGACGTTGAGGAGGCATGCCAGACATGTCCTCTTCTTGATACTGTGCAGGGATGCCATGGCTACTTGTTTTCAAGACTATTTTGCTCTTGAAGGCTGGAAATGAAGATGAGTAATTGTTGGACTGTATAAAGCCTAATCGTGTTGTGCATTTCTCCTGTGTACTGGGATCGACCTGTCTCACCTAATTCAGTTTTTAGTTGGGAGTATATAGCGCATTCTATATTCGCAGTAACATTGGGCGCCTAATAATAATATGATACATAAACGATGTTTAGGAGGTCCCTTCCTGAGTGACAAATGCACAGAGGCGTGATTTCACTATTGTGTCCTCTTTCTTCTTCATAGTAAAAATGTGCTGCAACGAAAAGTGAACATGGCTATCAAATTGATATAAATCACTATAAATCTGTGTGTTTGCTCGCATGTTGTTTGTTTTCAGATTGCTTGTTATTGCTCTTGAATTCGGAGACTATGATTCAATCCATAACAACAATTTCCAGCAATCAAGCTAATGCTGTCCTATTAAGAATGGAAGGCTTCTGAATTTATTTAGTGGGTCTCTAGAAAGAAGGCATTATCACGATTGTTCATAATGCAAGTCAGAGATGCTGATTTTGCTTGAAGCTTCTGCTTGGATATACTATTGTTGACACGTAGATTCTGAATTTGTGCTCAACAACTTCAAGTTGATTACCTAAGGAGAATGAAGCCTCTGGACCTTCTCCATGGTTTGATTAATATGATTCCAGCTGCATAAGGAAATTAGCAGGCTGTAAGTGTAAGGTATGGAAACCTTTTGTAGAAAATTAACATGGTAGCATTCCTCGAACCTTTTAATACCTGGAACTTTGTTAGCATCATTCTTGGTGTCTCTTGCCGACGGAGTCTTTTTAGAAAAAAGTTATATTTAATCCAAGTTTTGTTTCTTCATTTTTTCAAATATATATGCAGTAACTCTGCATTTTCTCGTCCCTCAAGGAATTTTGTCTTATCGATGAGAAATTTTTGAGCAGGCCATTTTTATTTTGCAAACAAAATATTTTGTATTTTGTTGTCCTTACAACATAGTGTGAACACAGAACACATGCACTGTAATTCAGTATATGAATCTTGAGTCTTGGAGATAAAAAAAAAAAATTGCTTAAAATTTCTTGGTAAAGTTTTTTTTGATTCATACGCCTTGCTTTTGCCATTGGCTTGATAAATAATAGGGTGACTCATACGCCTTGCCTTTGCCATTGGCTTGATAAATAATAGGGTAATTGGCACAAATTATCCATACCTTTCAAGTGTATTGTGGAAAACGTCTATACCTTTTATTTTTTGACATTCTTGCCTCTATTTCCACCTTTCTTTGTGTCGAAGGTCCTTTTCACTGTTATTTGAGTGTAAAATGACCAATATGCCCTCATATTTAAATAAAAGAAAAAAGAAAAAAAGAAAAAATTCAACTATAGGCGAAACTTCTGAAAAAGTGCAAATGCCCCCTGTCCCCCCCAAACTTTATATTCTTCCCACACCTCACCCTCACACCACTGCCATTTGTCGGCCATTTTCAGCCACCTTCCGATCAGCTTGGCAGGCGGACCAACATACTAACTTGAAACCCTCACTTCCGTCCTCACAACCACCCAACAACTGGCCGGAAATCTAAAGGAATTGATCGAAAAATTGTGCCAAAATAAGCTGCTCACACATCATGAAACGGCCAAAAATGGAGGCCGGAAACTCCATTTTCAACGATAGCCATGACACACCCATCCTCCAGGTCGATTATTATCATCATTGCGCTCCTATAGATGTCTTCATATCATCAAACAAAGCTAAAAATCAAAATCTACAGTCTGAAAATCGGAGTTCGCGTTCAGCCGATAGTTCTTGAGTTCAATCTTGAAAATTGATCGTTTGGTTGATGATTTGATGCAATTGATGGAGGACCCATAGTTGTGACAACATTAGTTGACGACTGCTAGAATTGGTGGATTAAAGCCCTGTAGCATCATCAATCGGAAGGGGATCGGCCGAGTTTCTTTGTGTACGAACTGTCGAGGCTGTTTCTACAATTTCTGGCCAAAATTGACGACGACCCATATGTTCATTAGGTTTACCTTGAAGAGGCGGTGCTAGAAGGGGTGGTCCGCAATCCTCAATCGTGACACCGGCGCCGAAAAATGTGTTTGAATTTGCCGATTTCGCTGTTAAAGAAATCACCTGGTTCTACAATTTCTGGTTAGAATTGACAATGATCTATGGCTAATTAGGTTCTCCTTGAAGAGGCGGTGCTGGGAGGGGTGGTCCGTCATCATTGATCATGACGTCGGCGTCGAAAAATGGAGTTGAGTTTGTCGACTTTGCTGTTGAAGTTGCTTGGGCAGCCTATTTGGAGTGATTTTTCGGCCAATTCCTTTAAATTTTCGGCCAGTGGTTGGGTGGGTTGTGAAGAGGGAAGTGAAGGCTTCAAGTTGGTATGTTGGTCCGACAGCCAAACTGATCGGAAGGTGGTTGAAAATAGTTGGCAAGTGGCGGTGGCATAGGGGTGAGATGTGGGAAGAATGTGAAGTTTTGGGGGGCATTTGCAATTTTTTAGAAGTTTCGCCTATAGTTGCAATTTTTTTTCTTTCTTTTTCTTTTATTTAAATAAGAGGACGTATTGGTCATTGTACACCAAAAAAGAGTGAAAATGACCTTCAACACAAAGAAAGGTAGAAATATCGGCAAAAATGTCAAAAAATGAAAGGTATGAGCGTTTTCCACAATACACTCGAAAGATAGGGACGTTTTGTATCAATTACCCATAAATAATATACATTTCTTATTTATCTTTTGGAAAAAAAAAAGTGTGAAATGTCGAGACACACAGGATTAACCAACATTCATAGAAACCGAACCAAGAAATACAGAAAATAGAAGTGCAGAAATAATGAACACAAAGGATTTTTTCGGCCGAAGCCCCAGAGATTCAGCATGAGTGCCTAATCCCCTGTTAAGCATCCACTATCAATGGATACAGTTTGATTACACTATAATGCCCAAAAATTGGCAACAAGATTACACGAATGTTCGATAAATTATAAAGACTAAGCCATGAAGACTTATCTTCTATAAGAACCACAAAGGAAACTACAAAACCACGAAGGAATCAACCACAGATCACACATATCTCATAGGCACCGGACTGCTCACAATGAATCACACAGATTCATAAGAATACTACACAATAGCACCACTCTCCTTTGATTTATAGTATGTAATATGTCTCACAAACATTGAATCACTGAAATCACTCAAGAAATAGAACCCTAGATCACGAAGAAAATGGGGTTTCTCACGCAGAGAAAGAGAGCGAGAACCGGACTTAAAAAATGAAAATTTCTCTAAAAAATTATATCAACTGAAGGGTCAGTCACGAGACTTAGAAGTCTCTAGAATCCAATCAAACGGTCTCCATGTTGCCAGGTGCCATGATCCAGCTCAATCTCTCCACTAATAAAGTTGCAAGATCAAAAACATGACTTCAACAGAAGTACAACTTAATAAGTGTGAGGTAATCGATTTGAAACTCAACATAGTGGAATGTCATCAGTTTCGGAAATTTTAAAGCAAGGTATTTTATGTTGATTTCTCAGTGTCATTGTGGCCCTCTAGGAGAGATCCTACAATAACATAGTTCTTGTCATTCGAGGCAGGGGCGAAGGGAGGGTGCAGGTTTGGGCCCCAGGCCCAATTCATCTATTCAAGGTAAAAAATAAAAAAGTAAAAAGTAAAATTAATGGAATATTTTTTTTATGTATCAGCTCACTAAATTTTTTATCCCCTAACTCTGCTTCTGATTCTATGGATAACTTACATCTCCATAGTTAAATAGTGGTTTTGATTAGAAATTTAAAGTGAGGTGGACTTGGGCTCTTGTGAAAGCTTGTATTCTTGGTTCACATAGATTTGTATTGAAATTTTCAACGATTGACCACCATGCCTGTTGGTTGGTTTATAATTATTTTTTAGATTGATAATTTTGTAATCTTTTTTATAAAAAAACGAGGGACAGTTCTCATTCAATTAAGGGCCTATTTGAAAAAGTTTCAAGGGAAAATTACATAACTACAACATTATAAAAATACATTTCATAAATAACAAACTCATTGAAATATTTCAAAAATCAAATGTTAAATATATTTATTAAATATTAAACTATAATATAATATACATTAATTATTTCCACTCCACGCCACCTCACTCACCCCATCCTATCACTTCACTACACCACCTTCTCTTCATCTCTCCATCGGAGATAGCCATCGGCTCCGGCATTTACTCTGGAGACCGTTCAGGCAGCAGTTTCGGTGACTGGTCCGGCAACCATTCCTAAAACTGTTGCGGTGAACGCTCGGTGACTACTCCGACAAACTGCTCCAGCGACTATTCCACCAATTGTTCCGGCTCCAATGATAGAAAAATTTCCAAAAATTGTGATGGTTGTAGTGGTGCATTGTAGTTATCAGATTTGCAACCGTGTTATCTGTGATCATACCTGTGTTATATGTGACAAATTCACTGACTTATGTTATCTGAGAATCACTGCGACCAACTTTGCCTTCGGTGTGACTAATTGTGACCAAATTTGTATTCAATGTGACTGGCTGTAACCAGATCAATCTCAAGTCACAACCAGTCACAGTCAATACAAAATTGATCACTAACAGTCACAACAAGATCTTGAACAGAAAAACCAGATCTCCAACCACCACAACAAATCTATTCGAAAAAATAATAATCACAAGTACTACTAACATCTTTAACTCAAATTGATGATCATAAATACTACATTCACCTTAGATCCACAATAATCATCATTACCATAACCTCCACTAACCCTTCAAAAAACACCAACCAACACCATCACACTTCTCCTGTGAAACTCCGGTGAGAGAAGTAGTGGGGGGTCGGAATCTAGATGGTGGGTGAGGAAGAAGTCGTAGAGCTGATTTTTTGGTAAGAGAGTGCCGAACTAATTTTTGGGGAAAGAAATAGAGTGTGTGGGTTAAAAATTGATATAAGATCTAGGATAAATTGATACGAGGTTTGTGACCAAGTTTGTATTCAATGTAACTGTCCATGACCAGAATAATCTCAAGTCACAACCGATCACAATCAACACAAAATAGGCTACAAACAATCACAACCAGATCTCGAACAGAAAAAATCAGATCTCCAGCCACCACAACAGATCTGTTCCGAAAAATAATAACAACCACCACTACTAACATCTTTAACTGAAATCCACAACAACAATCATCACCACCATAACTTCCACCAACACCTTCAAAAAACACTAACCAATTGATTATTGAATATTTCTCAATAAAGATTTCCAAGATTCTTATTCACTGTGCCAAAAAGGAAAATGGTTGGGTGGGTGGTGGTAGAAAAAGAGAGAGAGAGAGAGAGAGAGAGAGAGAGAGAGATGATAGGGCGAAGAAAGAGGTGGGAAAATGAAAATACATGGGGCTTGGATTTGGGAATGAAATGTGGATGGAATTAGGAATGGGCTTCACTGTGCCGAAAAGGGAGATGGTTGGGTGGGTGGTTGTAGAGAGAGAGAGAGAGGGGTGGAAAAATGAAAATACCTGGGGCTTGGATTTGGGAAGGAAATGGGTGGAATGGGCGGTAGTACGTTGGTTTAATTAAATTTTCATTAATTATAATTATTAAATTTAATTAACACCTGATTTGTGAAATGAAAATTAATCGTCCTTATTTTTGAAAATTAACTTTTAAATGTAGGTTTCTAGGTAATTTTCCCAAGTTTTTACTTCTTGAAAAAAGGCTTCGCAATAAAGTGATTTCAGTTCCCTCTTTTTAAAAAACTCTTCTTATCAAACAATAGTTATAGAAAATTATGCAAATAAGTTCAATAATAATGTTTTTAATTTCAAAAGCACCTTTTGCTTTTCAAAAGCGATGCCAAATATGTTTGAACTTCTTGAGCATATCTGCTTTGTATGTTATAATATCTCTAAGATACTTTCTAAATATGATATGATCTCTATTTTAAAGAATCAATCCTTAAAATCATATTTCAAGAGATTTTTTAAATTAGCATTTTAATTTAGATAGTGGTTCTGCTCTTCAAAGTTGAATAGATAAACTCACTTTTTATAATTAAATGCATTCAAAGTGTTTCAATTTTTAATATAGAAATACTTTAAAATTTTAAATCTTTAAATTTATAGTTGTTCTCCAAATGATAGAACATGATATTTAAAAATAGTGACGTTCTTGGAGATGTTCTTATTATGCTAAATTTTACTTGAATTAAAAAAAAAAAGTACATATTTATGTTTAACGTCTTGTTTTAGTTTATAAAATTATGAAAATGAGATTTTATTTATTGATAAGTTAGCATTTATCAATATTTAAATTATATACATTATATATATAATTAACTAAAAATATTTTGAATCATTTATTAACAAATTCTGCAGCAATGTTCAGTTTAAATTTTTAGTTACATATTTTGAATCATTTATTAACAGATTCTGCAACAATGTTCAGTTTAAATTTTTAGATACATGTTTATTCAAAATTGTATATGCACAAAATTTCAAGTATAAATTTATTATCTATACTAGCGTTTCAAATTTTATTGCAAAAAAATAATAAAGATGTACTTTAAGAATAAAAACGTTTATAAGTAATTATAGGCTGCTCCTTTTTGGTTCAACTAAAAAAACTAATTAAAATCGAATTAAATGTTTCAATAATTATCCAACTTAAATCATAGTCATGGTTTACTCACTACACTTTTCCACTCTATCCACCACCCTCAAAAATTCATTAGCTGATTTGTTGACGTGGCTAACGAAAATCCAACATGACAAGTTATGGTCAATCAAACCAATATTTTATTACTCATCCAACTTATACTTGGTCGTGGTTTACTCACCGAACTTAACAATACTTCCAAATGGTCACCATTCTTTGAGACATTGCGCTCCATCCATCATTTGCTAGATTACGTTCCATTTGTTACTAACTTATCGCACTAAAGTCCCATGGAGCAAGTTACGATTGTTAAAAAAATTGTAACTCATCCAAATCATCAAATTATCAAAATTACCATACTTGCAATGCAATTTTCATGGCCCCATAACCTTCTTTAAGCCCCAAAAATGCGTCCTCAATTTCAATACGAAAATACTAGCTCCCAATTTACTCATCTCACCGACATACAATTAAATTGTGCAATAAGATAGAACCGACTGTTGAGAAGAATGCAAGAAGCTATTAATTGCAAAGTTATATTTTCCAATTGTACCATCTGTTAGACGTCTCTCTAATTCTAATCTTTTGTTTTTTGCATACGTGTGTCTAACTATTTGAAAAACGATATGTCGTTGAACTCCGGCACAACCCATTACGTATTCCAACTATACTCCGGCCATCAAAGTTCGATTACATTTCCTTTCTCAAATTGTTGCACGCTTGCAAAAATGAAAGGTTGGGATTAAAGAGATGTTGAGCAAATAGTCTAACTGGGGGATAGGACTTTTATAAGTAGAGATTCTCGCATACTTCTCAATAATCGATTCTGTTTCATTACATAATTTAGTAGTACATAAGTTAATTGGGAGACTATGATTTTTCAGGATTGAAATTGAGGACGCGTTATTGGGGCTTAAAAAAGTTTTGGGGTTGCGAAAGTCGCATATCACATATAATGATTTTGGCGACTTGATAATTTGGTAGTGTTGTAATTTTTTTTAACAATAGTATCTCGTTACATGAGAATTTTTTTGCAATACACTAACAACAAAAGGGAATGAAATATGGTGGATGATAAATGGAGTAAAACATCTCAAAGATGAGTGTACCATTTAACAAGTATTTTGAAGTTTGATGAGTAAAATATAACCAAATATAAGTTGGATAAGTAATGAAATTATGGTTTGGTTGAGTTGTAATTATTTTAATAATTGTAACTTGTCAAATGGGATTTTTGTTGGTCACGTCAGTGAATAAGGTAACGAATTTTTTAGGGTGATGGATGGAATGGAATAAAAAAAAGTTCATTGAGCATTGTGAAGCACTTTGAAATTTAGTAAGTAAATTGTGATCATGGTATAAGTCAGATAATTATTGGAACACTTAATTAAAATTTCAATTAAAGTTAATAATAAAATTTAACTATACATACAACTTTAAATAGAGATGGTAGAACAATCTGTCCCACCCCAAATGGGGCCAAAAAACCCCTCCCCAACGGGTTGGCGGGGCGAGGCAAGAAGGAAAAAAAAATTAATTACACAATTTAATTCTATCTGTAGTTATTTATTTTTGGACATTGTTTGTTTCGAGTGTTTACTATGGATATTGGCGTTGTTAGTCTAAGTATTATTTACTTTGGATTTTAAAATTTTGAATTTATATTTTACTTTGTAATAATAACATAATTCGAAATTTTAAAAAAGTAAAATAAATAAAGAAATAAAATAAATGGGACAGCAAATCGGGCAAGCCCCGTCATGCTGCCATCCTTAACTTTAAATACACATTCCATTAATTTTTATTAATATTATGTATTAAAAATCTGATTTTTATCAAAAACAAACAAATGATAAACTTATTAAAGGTAGTTAATTATGAATTGTTTAACTGGTGAGAAGTTTCGTAAACTAATTCTAATCGTTTTCCCATAAATTGTTATCAGTAGATCCTAAGAACACGACGTATATCATATGCATTCGTCTAATGAACAATGTTATATGTACACATAGTATTACATCCTCTCACATGGAGGGATTCACATATAATAAAATATTCGTGGACTCCCTTTATATTAGAGGGTGTAATCTATTGTGTACATCATGTACCTATAGAATTAACCTCGCCTAATACCTTTCAGTTAAACAGGCCAAATGAGGTAAGCCACGTGACAAATTCTACTTCCAGCCAACGTTTGTTAAGGCTTTCAATTTGTTATTAAAATTTCCCCTTTTATTGGTATTTCGTCGACACATCACATCATCGTACGATGATCTGGACATACAACCAAGAAAATTTTGCCTTATTTCTTTCTTAAAATTTCCCTTTTTATAAGCTCTTAAATAGTGCCTAGAAGACATCTCCTTATCGGCAATTTTTCTTTCTTTCTTTCCATTTTTTGGGCGTTTACGTTTGTTCATTTTTTGTGGCTGGACTGTGTTGATACTCAAACAAGAGCATAATTACAGACGTTGCTAGACAAGTGAGTAAATGTCGGGTTCTGTGGTCTGAAAATAAAGAGATTGATGCATCAATAAGGAAGAAATCCTTTGTGGCTTTGTTCTTCATATTCTTTTCTTTTATAAAATTTTAAACAAATTCCTTGATCCTTTATAAATCTGTTTTTCCACTCTCAGGGGGTTTGATGCTCTTCAGAATACTGGTACATAACAGTCGTTTCTTGTCTTATATTGTTTGGTATTTCTGTTTTTGCTTTGCATCAATCTTACCTTTCTTATCTACAAATTTTCCATGCTGGCTAGGGTTTCTGGATTTTAGTTTATTTTTCTCGTTGATTGACTAGCAGCTGAGTTTTTGGCTTGGAAATTTATTAGGGTTTTGGGAGCTTCTGATTATTTTTACACAAATTTGAACACAAAATTTCCTTGCCGTTGTAGAATTCTCTTGGAAACTAAATGGTGAAGAAGGATTCATACATTTGACACCAAATTTATCAGAATTATCTGTGTGATTTTACTTAGAAGCCTCTTTCTCATTTCTTGTTTTAAATTTTTTGACAGATCTTAAGTTTCTCCTAAGCTGCTGAGCACAAGAGCCACGTCCAGGTAATTATTTTAAGGTCATTTCAAAGTTATTTTTTCCTCATCAGGGTTACACTTATTTGACAGAAATTTTGGTTATCTTGCAGAAAATGGTGAGAGGAAAGATTCAAATGAAGTTTATTGAAAACGAATCAAGCAGGTTGGTTACCTTCTCAAAACGCAAAAATGGACTGTTAAAGAAAGCTCGTGAGTTATCAGTACTTTGTGATGCTGAAGTAGCTTTGATTATTTTCTCACAAAAAGGAAGACTTTTTCAGTTCTCAAGCTCCAAGTACGTTTTTTTTATCTCTCAATTCAATTTTTAAATTTTTATTGTACGTATCCCATTAATTTCACGTACACATTTCTATTGCGTAAAATTGTACTTAGTTGAATGTGCTTTCTACTTTGCTATACTTATAAGTACATATTCTTGTTTTTATATGTATAATATCATAATGCTTGATGAAGAAATAGGATATGGGGTTAATGTACTTTGAGAGATTTCCAGTACTTTGTTAACAGCAGCTTACATTCCTTAAGCTTCCCAGAATCAATCTTACTTTGTTAATATACAAAGATTGCTCGATTTCGCTGACTTAAAAAATTTTGTTTGGAACATGACTAATTCTCGTAAAATTGCTAAGGTTGCGAGAAACTTAGGGATCTCCTTTTGTGTAGAGGATGTATTTTAGTGGGTTCATTTCGACTGTCGTTCCTATCATGAGCAATAATTATTTTGGACCAAAACGTTGTGTTTGTTGTAGACTTCTTTAGAAAAATTTATAGGAGGTGAAAGCTTGTTGAAACAAAAATTTTTGTTTGAAGATTTAATTTAAACAAGCCTTAGTTTGGCAAATTTTTTGATGGTTTATAAAGAAGAATTAATAGTAAGACGAGTGGTAGTGAGTTCCACGAAATATATGGTTAATAATGATAGTAGTTATAAATATGTAGTTGAAATTAATGTTTTTGACTAAATCTTGTAAGACGGTCCTACCGGAGGACAAGGGTAGGGTGAATCTCCATAACGATTTTTATAGATCATATACATATTTGAATCAAAACGGAGGCTAAATGAATGTATTCCCTTTATTATAACCTATGTTTTTATCGAAATTGTTCACACAATGTTGGTACTTATGCTATAGGTTACTAGCTACCATATGTTGTGATTTGATGTTTATTTGTTTTCTTTTCACCAATTACCTCCAAAAAAATATGGTCATATTCATATTCATATATCCTTTCGTCCATTCATGCCTCTTGAACTGAATATTTTCATGCCATTATGCCAGAAATAATGCAATCAGTCTCACTTGTACTCATTGCACCAATCAGTTTTGTTACATAAGAGTTTATAATTGTCTCTTTGAAGTCAGTAGCTAAATTTTACCGTAAAAAATGACTTCCTCCATTCATGCTTTTTTCACTCTCAGCAAAATCTGCAGAACAGTGCTCGTGATTTACCTTCAATCCTTCAAAGACGTCAATCATGGAATAAGTAGGAAGATTTTAATTTCTATATTAAGTCTACATGCATGCATATGTGCCTGAGTACTTGTGCTGTTCACGGGTACATGAAACCAGCAACATTGATACTGCATGTTAGTGCAATCATAACCTATTTTTTGGGGAAAAAAATTGGTTAAAAAATTAATACAAATATATATATATATTATAGATTAATCGAAAACAAGATGAATTAAAAAAAGCATGGGAAGAATAAGAAATATTCTTTGTTGCAAGGGCAACTGCTTCAAAGCTCTTTGCTAATGGTAGCCTGACATCTTGGCATTTCTTTACATCTTTTTAAACTAAAAAACCTTTCCTCTCCACAAAGGATCTTAAATAATGAGTATGTTTCGTCTTTAATTTTGTGCTATGCATCTAATCTCTACCATAGAGAATTCATGTTTTGCTAACCTCTCGCTTCTCCTAGTAAAACCGGGAGCGAAGGAATAATATAGTGTGACCCACTTACTGTGAAAGCTAAACCCAATTTAGTACAGAATTTTTTTTTTAAAACCTGCATGGGGTTTTTACCCCGAGTTTAATTAAGAGCTTTACAGGTAAAATCTTGAAGTTCACTTTATTTCAATCTTTTCTTCAGAGCAATTTTCTTTTCAAAGATTTCCAATGTGTTAAAAAACCTAGGCTGAGCTGCTAGCTACTTGTCCTATCAAGATCCTCATATATTTTTCTATTAAAAATCTTGTGTGACAGCAATGTGTATTCCCTCATTTTCTTTTACTTACGTTGTTTCTGTGGGAATTTCCCTACTTTCGAGGGAGAGTTGTTTACTTTGCTTTTTGTCCTAGCATGTGACTTAGTCCAACATAGAATAATAAATCGGAAAAGTAAGTCAGGTACTATATAATGGAATGCCTGGCTAGAAATAAGTGCCGAGAATAATATTCTCCAGGAAAAAGGGAGAAAAGGATAGGAAAGGAAAAAAAGAATAATAATTTTTTCCTTATTTCTCAAATTAGTGATCATATTGTAAGTGTGTGTTCTTGAGTATAATTGTGATTTAATATATATATATATATATGGCCAGTGATTTATATTAGATATTAGAGTATTTTCATGTTCTTTATTGTTGTTACTATTTCTATCTTTTGTTTTTCTTAATATTTTGCATTTGCAAGAAGAACCTGATCATGGTTAATTTGGAAACAGGCTTAGGTTATTCTAATGTATTGATCCATGCAACTATCTCTTATAGAACTTGGTTTATCAAATTTGATTTATTAATGTATTGATCCATGCAAGTATCTCCTATATTGTATTTTTTCTAGTTGCAAATAATAGATTTATTCTCAGGCACAATATTGGACACAATTTAAAAGTAAATTTGATAGTATTTCAGTTTCTTTTATTTCTTAATATTGTCTTGTATTCTACCACCACCCCGCTAAACAAACTATGTAAAAACGACAAAAATGTTCGACTATCTCTAGTTTCTACATTTTGATATAAAACAAATGTGTTGGGATTCATAAATCATATAGAATCTACCTAAAGACTGTTAAAAAATTTTGTAACCTTTACATATGTTTATAAAAATTTTTGTAACCTTTACATATGTTTATATTCGTTGATGAGAAAGTTGAAATTTGATTAGTGTGGTTTAAAATTTCAGTCTTTATGCATTTAGCTTCCCAAATTGAAAATATGGATTCTCTCTTTTCTTTTTTCTTTTTTCTAGCTGAAAGCATTTTTTTTTCAGCATGGAAAATACAATTGAGAAATACCTTGAACATGGAAAAGAAGAGGAGACCACAACTAACAACACTGAAGTTCAACAACATGTGCAGGTTTGAAATATTTGTCATCAATTTTGTCGAAATATCTCAACTGTTTATCAGCCATTTCGTGCCAAGTAATTTACATTATACAATGTTGCCTTTTATTGGTAGTGGCGAATAAATTATTTAAGATTAAATTTAAATAGATAAATATATCTATTAACAATTTAAATTTAAATAGATAAATATATCTATTAACAATTTAAGTTTTGAATAAAAACGATCAACATTGTATTAGAGTAAACAGAGGTGGTCATAGTAAGTCTCAATCCTGCATTTAAGAAAATTGTACACGTGTCACGTTTTGATAACAGTACTTGAGTTATATGTGAAAGAGCGTGCTAATATATATGTCTTCTCTCTTCTAAGAGCCTTTAGATGAACTATTTAAGATGTTAGAATATACTTAAAATCAAGTCTTATCACTGTCACTTATGAAATTTGTACACAAATCAAACCCTAATCTAACTAAAATAGCTTAAATTATTATATGAAGTGGATTGAACGAATTTCACAAATGCCTTGTGACCAAGTCTGTTTGTCATCCGTATATAAATCTTATGCTCTAGAAATGACAAAAAATAAACCTGTCAAATCCAACGGGGCGGGGATTACTCGCTTATTCGGGTCGAGACGGGTACAGGTAACACTCGCCCTACCCCACCCGTTTATTATTATTATTATTATTATTTTAAAGAATTCAATAATTTTAAAGAAAAACTCTACGAAATTTCATTAATTCTAAATAGAAGATGACAGCTAAGATTATTTAAAAAATATGATAACAAGAAAAGCTTTAGTTTATCAAATATATTCACATAATTTAATTTTTAAAAATAAAGAAATTAATTAAAAAATTTAATAACTATATTATTGTCTCACTTTAATAAATGATCAATAAAATGAATTATTAAAAAAAAAAAAAGGGATTCGTAAACCGTCCCGACCCATCTTAAACGAGTAAGTGAGTAACGGGGCGTAAAATTGTCTGGCATTCCCCAATCCTGTTGCCATCCCTATTATGCACGTGCTAGGATTAAAGGGGTAGTTCAATCCAAAGCTTGTTCGTTGCTCTCTCTCTTTTTTTTTTCTTTGATATCCAGGTATCCCAACTTACACTAAACTAAATCCTGGAACCCCAAGACCCTTGCCCCTAGAACTTTGGAGGGGTAAATCGCAGGTTATGCCTCAACTGGATCACAGGTTTCCCCTCTGCCTGTACACTTCTGCATACAAGAGATCCTCCTTCAAAGTGATTGCTCCATACCAAATAAATCTGGCCGCAGGTTCCCACCAGGATTCGAACCTCCACCCTGCCGCTGGAAGCAAGATAATGTTGATTGATCCACCATTTGAGCTGTGCCCTGAGGGGCTTGTTCGTTGCTCTTGATAGTATTGATTATGGTAAGTTGTGAAATATGATTGATGACCTTAAGAGAGAATAACTCTAGATTTAAGGCCTCAATTCAACCTTGAGGCCAAGTGAAAATCCAGAATACAAACTTATACTGAACTTTTAAATTACAAAAAATGGTTGAATATTGTATATTCTAACGATTATCTTAATAAGAAATTAAATCATGCATATAATTCAAATCAATAAGCCCCATTTTAGTATAATTACTCAGAGTTGAACATGCATTACATGTTATTCTGACATAATTTATAAATGTTGTAAAAGTAATATTTGATACCTATTTGTTAGGAGGATTTGATGAGTCTTAAACGGACTAAATAAAATAAAATTTAGGATATAAATTTAAGAGAAAATTTTACTTTCAAAACTTTACTTCCATGATTCAATTTTTTTGTGATGATTAAATATTACAAATGAGCAATATTTTTATACTACATTTGATACATAAGAATTAATTACTAATACATGAATTTAAACACCCATTCAAATTTCTAGATACATGAATAAAATATATTCATATATATCAAGATTCATCAAGTCAAGATTTATAGTTTAGATTAATATAAATATTAATTAATTGAGATTTAATAACACTAAATTTATAATTTTGTAATATTTAATACATATTGTAAAACGAAAAGTAATGTATTATTAAAATAATTGTAGTAGGGTTAAATCGTCCAATAAAACTAATAATAACATAAATTTCTTAAGAAACTGAAGAAAAATCCACCTATTTTCTGTACCACGAGTTCATACTAAATCCAAACAAACAAGGGAAAGAAAATTAATGCCCAACGATGCAAAAGAGATGATGATTGATATTATACAATCTAAGTTGAATGACTATTTCACTTATGTAATTAATTTTATTATATTTTTAACGACATATTTCATTTAACTTTTTAACTTTATGCCGAAAGAAAGAATAGTAGCATATGTATTTTTTCTTATCATATGATGTTATTGTTGGAATTATTTTTTTCTTTATTTTTTTGTCAAGTTTATCTGTATCCAGATTGAGAAAAAAATTCTGCATCTCAATTAATGTCTCAACCATAATTATATTTTCTTTGTGAATAGACTTTTAATCCATCAGTAAACACTAAATGAAAGCATTAAAGTATTCATATCTTTGATGCATGAGCTAAACCTAGTACTAATCTATCAATTCCACGAACTGAAGCTTCAAACCATAAGATCTTTGATATTCTCCTAGGTGCTATTTCAGTATGTTTTTATTGAAAATTCAAGAACCATCAACTGAAGCTTCAGACCATCCAACCTTCACATTCATGCAATCTTCTTTGATGAATTCCAAAACTACTTTCACCCTCGTTTAGTTTATATCTAAGTCTCTGTTCGGCTGCCAATTTATAAATGGTTTGTAAATTTAGTGAAAGTAAAAGATTAATTTTAACTACATATATAACTACTACTCATTTATTATTTATACATTTTGTGGAATCCATTACTATTTCTCTTTATAAATGATTTATAAATTAGCTAAATAGAGGCTAAGTGATATTGCAACAACGTAGTGTAACGAACAAAGACACAGTAGGTTTGATACGAAAGAATTTCGAATCTATTTCGGAAGAGTTTGATCCAATTAAGTGTTAGATATTTTTCATCGTTTTGCATGTATTTATTTTTGTTTTGCGAATGATTTGCCGCCCCGACTAGTGTTTGCCTCCAAAAGAGAATTTTATTTTCAGAAGTCTTTAAATAGGTGCGTCTGTTCGTTTTTTAACAGTCACCTCCAGTAGATGTATGCAAAGATTTCAAGGAACACACCTATTCAAACGGTTGTCTCAATTTCTATAAATTCTGGGCGAATTCTCGTTTGCAAAATACATTAAAAAACTTATTCTTCTTTTTTTCTCTTGGCATCAATAAGTTATTTTCGAGTGTTTTCTTGGTTTGATCAAATAGTCACAATTTGAATCAAACATCTCCATTGTATCCTGAGAGAGATTTTCTATCATACCCCAGTTGTGACTTTGTTGGATAGGGGAGAAACATCTCTTAAAAGATAACGTTTTTTCGTGCCTTAGAGTTCATTAAGTATTCAGATTTCCCTATATTTTTCTCAACATTAAGTAGATAAAAAACGTTTTTAATTCTTTCCAAATATGGCAAAAAAAAAATTATAGAATTAAAAAAATAAAGAAAGCAACTAACAAAAGGCTTTTGATCTTTTTCCAACTTGTTGGAAAAAATTTCCCCAAGACGCAGTTCAGACAAAGAATACGAAAAAAGATAGAAAGAGGAAAACATAATTTTAACGTGTTTTGAAAATTTGTCAACGATAGACTTTATTAAATTAGGAAAGAGCCCAACATTCATCTGTAAGCACCTCTTCATATATATTCGGGTTGTTTTCAACCGTCATGATGGTGAATCCACGCCATCCCCAGTAATCAATAGAGTCATTTAATTCTTGGTCCTTTGTTATCTTCATGCGTGCCCTTCCATTCTTGCTTTAGCATCCTCTTTGTGCAATTTTTGGGCTTTCTTTGGGTATAGCAGTTTGGAAATTGGTGAATCTGTGGTTGATCCGGTCTCTTAGTCTTTTGAGCCTCGTAGATCGCAAAAATCTCGACAGGCTTTGATAGATTTTGGTTTCAATTTGTTGTATACTTGCCGAACTACTTGGAAGAAAATCAGGTTCAATTTTCCACACAGTTAATTTCCATAACATAGCCTCCTTCTTTGTCTGGGTTCTGTTAGGTCTTTTATTCATCTTCTATTTCGAGTGCTCTACAATCCATGGATTCTCATAGTGCTACTATTAACTTAGTGTATCCTCGACAGGCTAGTTATTAAAAATCGCTCGAGGATCTGGTTTTGCCTTGTTCAGTCGTGGTGGTGGTCATATACGAGTCATACAGCTGGGTGATTATTTCTTTAGAACCAACGTTTAATTGTTTGGTTGATTTAGTTGGCAAGCATCGTCAACGAAATTATGGGGCATAGTTTTGGCCTTGGTAGAGAACATTTGCTTGGGTCGTTTCAGTTTTCAATCTCATTTTAGATTTTACAAACATCATATTAAGTTTGAGGGATGTTAAAGACATCAAAAATTATTTTCTTGATTTATTTAGATTATTTTCTTAGTATGTAACACTATTTATAAGGTCATTCCTTTGAATAAAAAATAAAATTGATACTTTAATGAGGCATAAAATTAGCATGTTTTGATGAAGAAGTTGATATTAGGAAATATTTGTTTGAATTTGAAATAATAAAGTTTGAACCAACTAACATATAGAGGGGGAGTGAATAGATATTTATGCGGAATTTAAATTGATCAATTAATAAAAGCAACAAGCCACAATTGTTATTTAATCCAGATGAATTCACATGCACAACTATACTATGTTGAATTATCGCAGTTAACAAATTGCTGAAACATAAATAATTCCAAAAAGTTGTTGATGGAGAAAACCCCTCGCGGGATAAAAATTCGTTGCTCATACCAGTAAGAATCTGCTATAAACAAATCAACTTACAATACTATCAAACTCAACTAACTCTAGTATTTTTTGACCTCGTGACTGTAATCACCAAAGCCCTCATCGATTGCATG